TCAGAAAGAAACACTGAATCCCACCACTCCATGCTTCCATCTGAGTACCAATGATGCCATTCCACAAACTCAAGTCATCATCTGCAGGAGCCGCAGCAGCCAGTGGGATAGGCTCTTCTTGCAAATGCTTCAGATCTGACAAGATCCGCTTGCGGGCGGCACTGCTCAACATGGACATAGCGGGCACTTGGTGGGCGGGCTTGATGGGGCAAAATTCAGCTGTTGATCCAGCAACGTCATCGAACATGCCAATTCCAAGCCCAAGGCCCTCCAGACGGTATTCGAGCGCTGTTTTGGAACTTCACGGAAGATGTGGGATCAAATTCAGTTCCTTTCCCTGCCACCAGCAGTAGGGGTAAGGGCCCGTGGATTCGACTCCAAAAAGGGAGCGGCACTTCAGACTTCTTTCAGTGGGATTTCTAGCGAAATATCGTATCTGTTCCGTCCCCGCATCCCCATCTTCAACCTCAGCTTTCTAAGCTTCCAACTCGGCGCGGAGTGCTCGACACATCCTGAGCGAAGAATTGGCAAAGCATGACAAAGCTGTTCTCGACTGATGTTTGAGCGCCTGTGCCTCATTTGGATCCCTAGCAAGTGTTGCAACACTCCTCACGGAGTTTGACCGAAAATCCATTCTGTTGACTCATGGCATAAAAGCCTGGTTTCTCCCTGAGGCACAAGCGAGGTTTGATGGAACTGGAACCAGCTGCTCAACCTGCGCGTAGCACATCTTGACCGCGAACGACCGCAAAAAACAGAGGTTACTGGAGCGAAGCAGAAGTGCAGTCGTGGCGCGGGTCGTAGCACCTGTATGCACCTGTCTTTTGGATGTGTGTTTTTTTTTCAGGTGATTCGATTCCAGTTTCCAAACACCGGCAAAGGCAAGGAAGCAAGCAAGTACGATGTGTCTGCAATTGATGCACCTCATTGAACTAGTGAACTAGTGAGTGTTCCCATGTTTCATCTGCATGTTTGCCAAACTCTGGACTCTGTTCTAAACCTTGCCAATCAAAACAGGGATTGCAGTTGTCCATTTGGGTCTGAACATTTCCCTGCGGTTGCCTCTTTTGCATCCTCTCCGAGCATCTTGGACCTCGGCGATCAAAAAAAGTGGTCGGTCAGTGGTCTTGGAGCTTGGAAGAGCGATCAAACATCGTCGAGTTGTCCAAAGCACCGTCCAGTACCAAAGACTTGGGCAAACCATCTCCGCCAAAAGCTTGATCTGCTTATTATATCTGCTTATATTGACATGTTCTTACATTTTCTTTGTTCTGAAAGGAGCAACTCAGCAGCTCCTGCGATCCTTCCAGCAACTCACCGTTTCGATGGTCACCCCGACGCACTCGATCGTCGGGTGAGACCCCAAGGGTGAGGTCAAACGCTGCGGTAAAAAAATCGTCTGATCCCCTCAGTTTCGGAACGTAAAGGTTATACAACCAAACTGTCCAGCCTGTTCTTGTTCAGTGGGAAAACAAAAAAAAGGTTGTAAAAGTGATCCACTTCTTCATGTCGCTCGTTGGTTGTTCTCCCCTGTCTTGTCCGCCCCGGTGCGTAACCCGGTCTTTTCCGCCAAGGACGTGGCTCGGCCATTTTCTGTGCCTCAGCACCATCGAGAGCCGAGAAGAAGCCACTAGATGTTCCAAAGCCTTAAAAGGAGTCGCCAAGGAGTTGTTCCTAGTTCCTAGTTCCTGGTTGGTGCCCAGTGAAGATTGAACACGCCCAAACGACTTATAACTGCCTGCCTCGGATTGAGGCCAGTGCCGATGATCCAAGATGAATTATCCAAGTATTACTGCACTACTGCACGCCTGGCGGCCTAGCTCCAGGTCCAGTACACAAGGGATTTCCAGGGTCCAAACGCTGGCCATGTTCAATGAAGTCCATCAGCAAGATCCCAGGTGCTCCCTTGGTGTTTACATCTTCTTCTACCAGGTGAAGTAGGGAAGGCTTTGCCTTGGAAGCCTTCTTAACGGCTCCTGGTTTAGTCCCATGTTTATGGTGGGAAAAATGAATCTCCCATGCCATCCCCATCTCCCGCTTTTGAGACTATCACTTCAGCTCTGGCGTCTTCCCCGCCAGACCTCCATTGGCCCGAGTTGCCTTGGAGGTATTGATCTGCAAAGCTGCCATCTTCACTAACTTCTCCACCAGCTCCTTCGCCAATTGACTCCCAGTGCTGGCGAAGGAAATGACTCGCAGGTCCAGGCTAGAGACCCTGCGATCTTCAAGTCTACTAGTATACAACCAAGAATGAAGAAACACTGCTAACATATGCTAACACTGCTAACATTGTACCAAATCTCCTGACTTAGTCAAAAATTCCTAGGATTGCCTGGGAGATTAAAAATATCTAGAAACCTGACAAGACACATCTTCGGATCTCGGAGCACAACGGACATCTTCTCCTCTTGCGTTTCGGAGACGGGGCCTGATGATCAATTTTGCGAGCTTCAAGGAAGCAGCTCAATAAACATAAACGCCAAATCACATGTGTGGTTTTTTGTAGCTAGATGTGACCAGCAAGCTTAGAACATCTTAGAGCTATTCGGAAACTGTTTGAACATGTTTGAAGTTTGAGTCAGTGCCGGAATTGAATCTGATTGGATGTGGATCGACAGGGGAGTGCTGACAAACCATCCATGACCCACGCTGGTGCTCCGGCACCCACTGGTGATTGGTGCTCACGAGAAGCGGAAGTCCATCATGTATTTGGACAAATTTTGGATCCAGTACTTCAGCTTCTGTGCGACAAGCATCTTCGTTTGAAGTACCACCCAGGACGGGGCTGAGATCTCGGCTGCGCTCAGGCAAGGCTTGCTGGCGCCTTGAGAGGAGGCTGAGAGGGGCCGGGCGACCGGGCGCCCCAGTCAAAACGAGTGGGTTTCACCTAAGGTGTGACGGGACTGGCATGATGAAGAAAATTGCACGATGTTTACACGTGCCATGAACATATACTATTACGTATACAGTCAATATGTATTAATCATTTCCGAGTCCTTTAAAGGTTGGATGACAGTTCCTATCCAAAGTAGAGATATTCTTAGACACCATATGTTCTTAAATGTGTGAAAGACTGTGTGTGTGTGGCCCTCCGTGACGGAATATCAGTGTGACAGACTTCCCTGACTGAAAGTATACCAACCCAATGCCCATGGTGACGGCCCAACCCTACAAGTCAACTCGGCAACTTGAAAGGCATCATGTTCAATGGACAGTTCAGTTGACTCCTGATTTGATATCTGGCATAGTCGAGTGTCACTGAAAGGGACTGAAAGGTCCTTCCGGTAGTTCGATTCCTCTTGGTTCCTCTTGAACATCTGCCTTGTCTCGTATACTTCGAAAGCAACTGACGTCTATGTTACATGACACATGAAAGGAATGACATGTCGAAGCTGTTTGCAATGTCACCGACGCATGTCGAAGGAGCTCTGAGCATCCAGGCATGACAAAGCTGCTCTTCCGAAGGCACGGGATGTCCTCTGCCCTGGAGGCCTCAGGATGGCAAGGATCTCCACCAAGAACCTCTGGCAATTCCAGAGCAGCTTCCAATTTGGAACAAGGCGCAGCAGTTCCACCAATGTTGGCCATTTTCTTTCAGCTCTTCTGACAAATTCACCAGAACGAACACTTGACAGGGAAAGATTATGATAGTAAATGCCGCACAGGCCAGGTGCAAAAGTTTCAAACAAGGGGGAATAAACGTCAAGGAAGGTTTGGGTGACGTCATCGCCTCACAGTGGAGTGTGATGTGCTTGCTGAAGTGTGATGTTGTTAATACTGTATCTGATGAATGTTGTGGGAGATTGTCAAGTCTCTATTTAATGGTGTATACGTTGCTGCAGACATCTCTAATATATACAGTAAAGTTCGTAGACGTCTCTTTGTTCTGTCGAAATCTTAACAATTAGATTGCTACTGTCGCTACTTTTCAAAAGGTCTGCTTGGTTTATCATTCTGTTTGATGAGAATGTTCAGACTTCCGTAAAGCTTATATATGCATATTGCATATTGAGTTGTCTCACCACAGGGAAATTCACCCACACAGCGTCAGTGAAGGGCATGGTCCGCATGGTTGAGTATGGAATGAATTGAACATGACAAGTATAGATTGTCTGTTGTTTGGCTTTAAGGCGCCCCGTTCACCACAAGGCGCAGCTCTCTCGAGAGCTGCAACGTGCAAGCTTCTGTACACTGTCACACTGTCGTGATGACTTGGGGGTCAGGCACGGGGGAAGATTTGGTAGGATGATGCCGGAGTTGTAAATGTAAATGTTGCATCTCACATTAGATGCTTGGTAATTCTCGTCCTTCGTCGCAACTTGGGGTCGCTTGTCACATGGTGATGGGGTAGCTATTTCACGAGTTAGCTGCGTGACAATCGTCCATCACTTTGAAGTTTCTTTTGAACTTGCACTGTGGATTCTCCTCTGTTTCTGGGCCACACTGGCAAATTCATGGCATCTTCTCTTGCATTCGAATTCTTCGAATTCGTGGCTGAGCTTCTGGCCAGCGATGTGAGTGGCCAAGTATGGCTCGCCGCATCAAACTCCTGCGAGTGATGGACTGCCTGAAAGCCTTGATAAGCACAAAAGAAGAACCTCTTTGAAGCCCCTGAAAAGAGAGGTTCAAAGGACTTAAAGATGTCATAGCTTTTGAAGCAAAGCGTGTCCTCGCCGGCATATGGGAGTCCTCCGCTGGCTTGACAACTCATTGGTTTCTTTCCATGCAACTTGCATTAATCAGCAAGACAAGACTGAAATCTTGCCAACAGGCACCAGAGTATCAGGATGCTCGAGCAACAAAGAATTAGCATGAGCTGCGGTGTCACTTTCATGGCTCCTTCAGGCACAGTGGCAGATACCCAATGGTCTGCCTGGAGCGGTTCAGATGCCCTTTGAACCCCCCTTGCGGAGCCTCGCGCTGCCAGACGAAGCCCTGTTCACGTTTCGGTCTCCTCTGGAACCCCCTGAGCTTAAGGCCAATACTGGAAGGCCACCTCCAGCATCTGGCCCATGCCTTGCACGAATGGGTGATGGGTGGCGGTCCAGCGAATGGAACAGTTTTGGTGTCTATCTGCTGATGCGAGTCTGTCCGGACTGTTGTGAGTGAATGTGTTGTGCAAAGGCGATGTGTTGGCACAGAGGTTTTCCAGTGGAGCATGTCCGTTCCCTGATTCCCTACTACAAAAAGCAACAGCTTAAAGATACGACGCAAGTACATGTGAACACATTGGCAGGTTGACTTGAATTTCCCTCTGGCTCTTCATGTCTATGTCGAGTTGCTTCGTAAACAATCGAAATGTAGAAACCAGGTGTGGGCAACCAGCAACCCCTCAAACTTTGCCGTCTAGCACTAGCACCCCTCAAACGGACGCCTCCTCTCGCTCACGCGTGTAGCCTTGGTGTCATTGAGTGAGGCTTACTGTACATATTCCACAGTCTACACCTGGAAAGTGGTTCACAGTGTGATCAATACAACATGTCCACTGCCTTGTTGTTTGTACAATTTGGAACCTTTGAAAAAAGCTCCTCACTACAACGAAAAGATGCAGGACGCTGATGTTTTCTGCAGAGTCTGCAGGTTGCCGTGCGCTCAGCGACAAGACAGGTTCTTTTCAGAGCTTGGCCAGGTTGGCCTTGCCTGAGCTCCCTCGTCTGGGGAAGGCTGCTGAATTTGTACACCATGATCCTGTGAAACCATCTTCACCAGGAAGGTTGTCATAAGTCTGCACAGATTAAATCACCAAAACAAACCATCGCCCTTAACGGCGATCGCCAAGGGCGAGTCTGCGGAAAACGAGACGCCTGTTTAACGTGTCACGGGTGGATGCATCGAATTCGGAATCAAAAGTCCGTCCGTCATCGCGTCGACCTGCTCACCGTGCGACCAATCGACGAAGCCACCGAGCCATCCCATCTCCAGCACACGATGAAACCAAATGGGGCTGTACTCACTGTTCTCACAAAAAATCGATCCCTTATAGAATCATGTACGTCATGTTTAAGATGTAAGATATGCCAAATCCCTCTGCTGACTCTCCACGGCCCCCTGTTCCAAAAGCCCGACCTGATTATGCTGCCTGGATGATTAACTCCTCACCACGTTCACCAGCATGGCAGCAGGTGCAAGAACCTCAAAACAGAGTTGACACTATCGGCTACAGTGCAAAATATAAAAAGGCCAATGGACCCCAATTGCCAGCAGAAAAGTTCTAAGAACCAGGCACATTTGTGAGACCTGCTCATGCAGCTTGGAGATTGCTGCCCGGAAGCCTAGGTGCTCAGAACTGAACATATGTGAACCATAAGCCCTCTCAAGACTTGCAATTCTCAATCTTCCCCAGAGGTGGTGAACATATTGTGAGTTGGCCAAGAATGGTCTCCGACTTGGATATGAGTCATGAGAGATTTGAGTGCTGATGGTGCAAGTCATCTTTTTGGTGAAAAATCCTTTGGCTGACGCCCACCTGTTGCTTGGCCATGCTTTGCCCCTTGCGGGAGCTGAGCTAAAAAGTGGGTCACCTCACGGCATAGATGTTGTGGAGTTTATGAATACTGAGCTGGCTGGTTCATATTGGAAAGCGACATGGCTCTCGGCTGCTACGATCGCATCGCGACTAGGTACGGTTCTTGCCATCCTCCAGCACACTCCATGTGGACTTGCACCGGTCCCTGCCAATCACGGTGGTCACGATGCTCTTCAAGAGGGTCTCCAGCACCTAGTCACCAAGGTAAACAAATGGAACTGAACTCAACAAGACCGGGGGCATCTTGCGCGCAGATGCATGCTGAAATGCGGTGCAGGAAAAAGAGTGAATAAAAGCATATTGTTCCAAACTGCCTTATTACTCAGAACATCTTGGTCTTTGAACCTGAAGATATTCAAGCTTGATGCCTCCATTAGCACTAGCTTGGTGTGAGCCGTCACCCAGCTTCTCTGACTCTAAGTGTTGCGCCAGCATCACCCCATCCCCAACGCTGTGAGGTCCAACCTGCGGCGGGGGGAGCGAAACCCAACACGCCAATCATCACACACTGATTCAGCAGCAACGACAACAAGAAGGTGGGAGAATTGTAGAAGAGGAAACCATGGCTGTTTCGTCCTTTGCTACAAGAATCTTCTTGTTACTAGTAGTAATGGCCTCCAACCTAGTAGCGATGCCTAATAGCGATGGCCTCCAACCTAATAGCGATGGCCTCCACCTAGTAGCGTCCTTGTTCCTAGTAGTGATGGCCTCCAACCTAATAGCGATGGCCTCCCCTAGTAGCGTCCTTGTTCCTAGTAGCGATGGCCTACAACCTAATAGCGATGGCCTCCACCTAGTAGCGTCCTTGCTCCTACTAGTAGCGATGGCCTCCAACCTAATAGCGATGGCCTCCACCTAGTAGCGTCCTT